GCCATCACTATGCTGGGCTTCATCTGCATGCTTCACCCCTCCGAGTTTGTCAACTTGCGCCGATGCGATTTGGTATTGCCCCGTGACGCCATGAGCAACGACCGCATTGCTTATGTGCATGTCCGGAACCCCAAGACAGCTCGCTTCGCCAGGAGGCAGCATGCTCGCATGGAGGACGAGGCTACGCTTTCTTACCTAGAGGCCCTTTACAGCAATTTGCCGCAGCAGGAGCAGCTCTTTCGAGGATCTATGCACACCTACAGGCGGCAATGGGATGCAGTGATGAGCAGATTGGGCGTGCCGCACCGTCTTTCNNTGGCGGGGCAGATGGGCGAAGATGAAGACGGTCGAGTTTTATCTGCAGGAGGTTGCTGCGAACCTACTCCTCCAGCAGTTGTCGGACAGCGCCAGATCTCGTATTGCAGTGCTGCGCTCGGCCGCTCGCCGTCTCCTTTCTTCAGTGACCGCGCACCGCTCCGCTCAGCAAGGACATTAGGAGTGGAATCCTTCGGCCTCTCGCGACTTCCCACAGTACCCGCACCTCGGTTTTAGTGGTTTAGGTCCCCCCTAGGTCCTAGGTCCGGGTACCCGTGTCGCTGCGGGGGCTCTCCAGTTCGCGAGCAAAGCTCGCCGTGCAGACCTTTTGGGAACCTTCGAGCAGGCAGGCGAAAAGATGGTATAGGGTTTAGGGTTCAGCGCGGGCTTGGGGAGTTGAGGTGTGTTGTTTTTGCTTGCAGGGCGCAAGATGTCACCTATGAACCTTGTTTTTAGTGTCTTTTTGTGTGGGGGATTTCCGCAGGACTTGGCAGAGGGTATGATGGAGATTTCGGGCCTCGAGGTTGATGTCCTCAGATTGCAACCCTGTTAAAGGTTTCAGAGGTTTCGTGACCCTGAAAGCCCGAACTTTGTGCCAGACTTGAGGCATAGCATCTTGGGAGCAGGCTTTGGGTCTTGCGTTGCTGAAGGGGCTTTCTGGGTTCAAGGAAAGGCGTGATGCGTAGTTCAATTCAGGGCCCAAACCCTCGACCTTTAAACCCGAATTCCTAAACCCTAAACCCCAAACCCTAAACCCCTTCGGCGTTTTCAGGACCTGGACTAGTGCACCACGCCATCCGCAGCTTCAGTGGAATGGTGCACATCTCCATTCTCGAGGCCTCGGGGGTTTAGGGTTTATAGGGTTTAGCGGTTTAGGGTTTCAAGGGTTTCTGGGGTTTATGGGGTGGGTTTAGGTTTATGGCTTAGGGTTTCGGGTTTAGGGTTCGGGTCTAATTTAGGGCTTTGGCTTCAAGGAAAGGGTTAAAGTCTCTCCTGCACCAAGACACGTCTACTGACACCTCGCTGGGTCCTTGAAGCACGTTATGGTTCTAGGGCTTTCAGGCCTAACCTCTAGGGGACCTCACCCTACGAGAACAACGGGAGGGGGCATGCGACAAACTTCTACGGCCGTCACCAAACCCTACGAGCACGAAGGGAGGGGGACATCCGACAAACCTTTATAAGGGATATGTTTTTATTTCTATATAGTATTCTGAAAATGAAAACGTTAGGAACAACATAGGATGTTTTTGCGCTTGTATAGAGCCTTTTCGCAGAGCACGCAGGGTTTTACCCAACTCTTCTTGCTCTGCGAAAAGGTTTCACGGCTCCTACAAAAGGGTGGCTTGAACAAACAGAGGTGTTTATCCCTTGAACGTAATCGTGGCTCCATAGGGTGTGCAAGCGCAAAAACATCCCATGTTTTCCTAACGCTTGCACTTTCAGAATGCTGTAGAAGTAAAAAAACATATCCCTTAGAGGTTTGTCGGATGTCCCCTCCTTCGTGCTAGGGGTTGGTGAGGGCCCTAGAAGTTTGTCGCATGTCCTTTCGTGCTCGTAGGGTGAGGAGCCTGGAGGTCATAATGTAATGCAGGTGGGTTATGGGGCCATGATTACGTTACCAGCACAGGCTTTTGGAACCGGTTTAAATGCAGGCGGGCTATATAGGGCCACGATTGCGCCACCGGCACAGGCTTTCGGGCGCAGAACGCTAGCCCCGAAAACGTGACTTAACGTGTTAATACACCACAGATGTATCCCCTGCGACCACATAGCTCGCGCCATGGCGCGAGCTATTTGGTCATCAGGGCGCAGAAGGGCTAGTTGCTTACGACGTCAACTTACGAGCGCGAAGTGAAAACTTGAGTTTTAACGTGATTAAAACACCATGCATGTTTCCCCTGCGACCAAATATCTCGCACTATGGCGCGAGCTATTTGGTCATCACGGCGCAGATGGGGTGCTAGTTGCTTATGATGTCACCCTGCGAGCGCGAAGGGAGGGCTGGGCCCTTTGGGCACATTATGGTTCTAGGGCTTTCAGGCCGAACCTCGAAGACTGGCGCGTGCTGTTTGGTCATCGGGGCGCAGATGGGGTGCTAATTGCTTACGATGAAACTCAAACCTGTGCTGGTAACGTAGTCGTGGCTCTATACGGGTTGTGCATATGCCCCTGCGACCAGTAAAATACGTTCCCTGAAAAAGGTGGTTTAAATCTAAGTACATTGAAACGTTTATCCCTGCGCTGGTAATGTAACCGTGGCTCCATAAGGGTTGTAAAAATGCCCCTGGGACCGGTGACCAGCCCCGAAAACTTGTGCTTTAACGTGCCAAAACACCAAGGATGTTTCCCCTGCGACCAAATAGCTTGCACCATGGCGCGAGCTATTTGGTCATCAGCGCGCAGATGGCTGCTAGTTGCTTTCGACGTCACCCTACGAGCGCAAAGGGAGGGGACGTGCGACAAACTTCTAGGGCCCTCATCAAACCCTACGAGCACAAAGAGAGACACATACGACAAACCTCTAAGGAATATGTTTTTACTTCTGCAGCGTTCTGAATCCCAAAGCTTGGGTGCTGTTTGAGTACGCTGAATCCCCAAAACGCACGATGCTAGTTGAACACACTCGGTCCCCACAACCTGGGTGCTATTTGAGTATACGCTCGGTCCCAAAAGCAGGATGCTAGTTGAACACGCTCGGTCCCCAAACTTGGGTGCTACTTGAGTATTTTCGGTCCCCAAAAGCAGGATGTTAGTTGAACAGGCTCAGTCTTTTCGCACACACAAGGACCAAGCAAGACACCTTTCTTCAAACCTCGCACGCTGGGCCCTTCAAGCATGTTATGGTTTCAGGAATTTCAGTCCTAACTCCCAGTTCGCTTCTACCGGCCACATGTTGTTGATCCCATCCAAGGATCATGCATTGCAGAAAGGCTCCTTAGATCCATCGTTGACAACCCAAAACGGTGGTTGGGTTCGGTAATAGGGGCCATCAAGGCTGCACAGGAGCCGCCGTGCGAGTGACTTCACACCCGGAACCTAACGGCAACTACCGCTGCGCGCGTTGTGGTGATGCTTTCTTGCTCCGAAAACATATGCGCGTACACATGGATAAAAGTCACACAGTGTGGAGCCCCTCTCTCGGCACTATACGCTGAAAGGTAGGTGGCGTCGTTTTTTCGAGGAATCTCTCAAGCAGCTCGCTTGTACGGGCCTTAACTCCAACAGCAGACGAAAGCGTAGCAGACTTGGACTTTTGATACTTTTGAGCCGCGGACCTCCCCATTTCGTGCCTGAGGGCATTCCGCCCGTCCCCCGATTGCGAGGCCGGGATTTCGGTCCACATTCAAGCCCGATCCACGAAGGGACCAAGGAGTACAACAAGGGGTTTTTGGCATTCCCTGCCATGCAGTTGTTTCACCTAGAATTCATGTACATGTTTGGCTCGACAATCCAGCAAGCAAGCAAGCAAGCAAGCCAGCCAGCCAGCCAGCCAGCCAGCCAGCCCGCCCGCCCGCCCGCCCGCCAGCCAGCCAGCCAGCCAGCAAGCAAGCAAGCAAGCAAGCAAGCAAGCAGCGTTCCTCGGCGTTCCCGATTTATTGTACTATAGCTCCAAACCAAACCCTATTCTCATGTTTACGGCCTGAGGGTTGAGAGTCAGGGTTCTTGCGATTTCTTGCAGCGGCTATCGGTTGGTAGCAATGCTTCGATCTGAAGGTCGGTTGCCTACAGGTCCCCGTAGCTTTTCTCAATCGAAGTAAAGAAGAGTGGTGCTCCGTTCTGCCTTACTGGGTGTTGCTCCTGACACGCCTCCTCTTCACCTGCAGGAAGCTTTCTGATGCTTGGATGCACCCTTGCTGTGTGTCCGACACCGGTTCTGTGCTTCTGCGCGAGTGCACTGCCTGGTGGCCACCGCCAGGATGAGATGTCAAGAATCCTCGTAGATCCCTAGCTTTCGAGCGGCTTAGTGCCACCAGACCGTGCACCTGGCAGAGTCGCGTCTCACCCCAGTTTGTCAGCGTGTTCCGTCGCGTTCCGTGGCAGACCGTGGCAGGCGGGCGAAAGCGAGGCTCCAGTTGACGGCATGTAAACGCGTCGTGTTGTGGGACATCCAATCTTCTCTTCTTCCATAGCTTTTAAACGAGACTATATTTGCTGACTTTCGTGCTTCCAAACTGGATCGTACAACCTCGGAAGTTGCGACCAGTATACTGAACCCCAAAATGCGGATGACCGATTGCATGCTGGGATGCTGAGGTGTGTTTCAAGAAGTGCCGTCCCACAGGATGGCGGCTGGACACGCTTTCCCGAAATTCCGGGTGAACACGGAAGGGGGCCCCAAGTCAGAGCAGCATGAGCAGCATGGTCTGCTGTCACGGACTTGCTGGCTTGTCGAGCAGAGTCCGCCGGTGTCGCCTGTTTTGGTTCAAAGCTGTTCATAGAGGCGGCAGCCCCAGAACGGGATCAGAAGTTCAGTCGTCGAAGCCCCAACCCTCAACGGTGCAATCGTCGGTACCAAAGCCAAATTACGCCTAAAACCAGCCCCGTGATTCCAGCGCCAAGAGCTGCCAGCCCACTCCACTTCAGCCGCCACCCCACAACCCCCCGGCCCCAGCAACCAGAGCCTCAAGCACTTCAAGCTTCCCAGGACAACCTTGAGCGAAGAGCCTTGTAGCGCCTTGCCATGAGCGCGGCCAGTGGGGAGCTGAAAAAACAGCGCCCCGTTGCCGCTGGTGAGGAGCCGAAAACCCGGCGCCTCTCCTTCATCAACTGTGGCTTGGCTCCTACTTAAACAGCACTCTCCTGTTGGCTACCCTCCCCGCATTCGCACGCTTGCATGGGTTGCATACAAAAGATGGGCCCCAAACCCATGCTCAAATGCGAAGAGGAAGCTATACAAATCCTGAAGCCGGGTTGAGCACCGGCACTGCTGCGCTCCCTTTGAGGTTCTGTAAATCAGATCGAATCCGCCATCCAGACTGAGTGGGCGGCACCTTGGCAGCATCGTTGTGCGTTGATGGGTTACAGCATGCAGATGCATGCAGGGTCTTGCATGCCACATGGAGACGACTTCAAGCTGGGTGCTTCGGTTCTTTTTGTGTCATGTTGGGTCGGCGAAATGCCTCTGAGAATCATCGCCCCGATCCTGGCGTGTCACGATTGGACTTTTATTTTCGTACAGTCTTTCAATCCTTGTGCGAGGAGCATCTGCTCAGGAGCGAGAATGGGTGTTTGAGCCATGTATTGCCCCCTGTTCCACTACAGCGACGAGCCCCTGCCCCAGCGCTCAACAACCGGCATCTTGCTAAAGCTGCACAAACTGAAATCTGACAGGTAGCCACACATGCTTTTGCAAGCTTTTGCGTTATGGCGTGTTTGTGCCAGGATTGGCGGTTCAATGGCAGCTTCACATGCATTACTGATCCCGTACTGGATGTCAAGCTCTGGGTAGAACTTTCAGCGGGGGTGGGATGAATGCAATTTGAATCTTCGGAATGCTCGGATATTGCCAGGCCTTGGCTGGACAAACACCGTGTTGAAAGGTGTGAACACATGTTTGCACGTGTTTGTGCAGACAGCTGTGTGCACCTGTGCATGCATAGATACACGGCCGTACATACCGACGTCCATACACATACATACCTACATACATAATACATACATAATACACACATATCTACATGCATACATGCATGCATGCATGCATGCATGCATGCACACATACCTGCTGGCTTGCTGGCTTGCTTGCTTGCTTGCTTGCTTGCTTGCTTGCGTGCTTGCGTGCTTACTTGCTTGCGTGCGTACTTGCTTGCTTGATTGCTTGCTTACTTACTTCCTTGCTTGCTTGCTTGCTTGCTTACTTACTTACGTACTTACTTACATGCTTACATGCTTACGCACTTGCATACGTACATGCTTACATGCTTACATACCACCTACACGCCTACATGAGCGCAGACATGTGGCTGATACCTGTCATGCAGTTCGTCTGTCTGCATATGCGTGTCTGCACATGCGTGTAGATCTGCATTTGTGCGAGAGTGCGGCTGCCCCATAAGTTAACTGTCTTCTCGCGTTCTGCCACAGAAGTTCAAACTGTCAGCTGACGGCTGCTCCGATCTCCGACATGTGCAAAGAGCGAAGGTGATTTCTGGTCGACCATATTGACTGGGGACCCTGCAGTCGAGTTCCGCGTGCTGAGCAATCGGATCTTCGTCTGCCTGGCGTCGATCGGTAGGTGGTGGTTTCCTGAAGTTTGCAGTGCGACCGGAAGGCAGTCAGCTTTTGGCGTAAAGGCATCAGCTCTGTTCAGCATAGCACACTCGGACACTGGAGCCTGGATGCGGAATGCAGGGTAGGAAAGAATGCATCTGAGCGACCTTGATCTCCAAGGACACTGGAGTATTGGGTCAGGACTTACAACAGGCGGGTGCTTTGCTGACTTTCGGCCTCTTCCTGCGGCATATCCTTGCAAGCAGATCGTCTGTGGAGCTTTACCACCCAAGCAACCTTCTAAGCCCCTAGACACTCTACACCCTGAGCCCGAAGTCTCAATAGTCTTTAAGCTGGGTGCATGCTTGCTGTTGCCGCTTCAGTGGAAATCCGAGGTGAATTAAAGCCCTGCCTTGAAACACGAAATATTTGCCGAAGTTCAGTCTTGGGGGCGAAAGGGTCAAAGACACAGGAAGCGCGCTAGATTTCAGACTTCTGAATCAGGCTTCGAAGTTTGTGTTGCCTCGCTGGTGTCTTTCTTGCCTTACCAGCCTCTGTTGCAGCATTTGGCGTGGCCCCTGATGCCACAGAACAGGTGCCACCCCTTTGGGCCAAGACTGCGGGGCTCATGTCGTGAAACGACTTGGCTTCATCCATCCGTTTGTGCTGCAGAGCCTCTTAAGTTTTGCATTCATCGACGGCCACAGGTCGTCGGTGTAGACTCTTATCGATCACACTAAGCTGCGGCTGAGTCTGAGAGTTCATGCTCCTTCATGCCTTAAGGTAAAGTGCGGGCGGCTGGGTGACCAGCTCTGCCTTTGTTCCCTGTGTCGACAGGTGGCAGGACATGGGCCGAAGATCCAAGTCGGCGCCGCCGAACAGGGCGCCGCGTGAGGGGTTGTGGGTTGGATGATGGGCTCCCTTCGTTCACGTGGAGTTGTGTCAGTGCTGCGGAGCTCATTATAGCCTATTATAAATATGCTGACGTGAAGGCAAGCTCAGTTCTGGCGATACCTGACGCCTGGAACTGATAAACAGTCTCAGCCTCTCACTTTCCACGGCATGAGAGGCAGGATTCGAAGCCGTTGGGAGACCCTCAATTGTACAGACAATCTCGGCTGTCTTTCATTTACCTTACGGTGCCGCGTTGAACCTCGCAGGCAGATCTCGTGGAATTAGAGCAGCCGCCTGGCTTCTCTTACTGCCCTGGAGAAATTTGGAATGGACCGGACCTTCATAGCCTTGAAGTTCAAGCAGATCTTGAAAGAGACGGCTGGATGGACGTAGCGCATCTAGGTCTCCCACTGCCGCGTTTCGGTATCTGCCTCCAAGTCTTTTCGCGCCTTCATCAGGTTCTGCATGCTGCCTATTTGTCAAGCCTACCTAACGCAGTACATTGCCACGGTGAGCCCAGGATTCTGAATATGCCACGTCACCGTCTAAAGGACATCTGCACCCTGGCTGATCCGGGGACAACTGCAGGGTCCTGACGCATAAAGGTGAAGGGTTTGCATGGTTTGGCGATCTCTGACGGTTTATATTTTGGCGAAGTGTTTGGCGCAATGCCGCAGGAGAGTCCCTAATTTGCCTGTACGTACGTTCAGCTGCCTAGCCTCAGAAAGCGTCTCACAATCTCCAAACTTCCCGACACCTACCGCCAACCGCTTTGGTACCAGGAATGGTAGACGCATGTTCTGATCAACAATGAACAACTGTGGTAGAAAGAATGGTCGTGCTAACAATACGAGTCACTTGGGCCGCAGCAAGGAAGTGCCAAGATCAGGGACTGAACCGCTTGCCATCAAAATCGGGACTCCTTCATGGGGTATGCTTTTGCAGTGTTTGCAGATCCACAAAGACGCCAGGAATCAGGCCCCCCCCGAAGCACACAAGCCGTCCAGAGAATTTTGTTGCAGCCAAGTTGTCCCAAAGTTTAGCATCTTCTGTCGCCTGCCGAGGCAAGCTCTTCGACTACCAAGGCGGACGGGCTAGGAGTCAGGAATTGAGAGCCTTAGTTGAAGCTGCCCGTTACGACTGCGCATAGGCACAGGCAGGGGAGTATGATCAAGCCCGGTGTCCCAAGATGCCAGCTGAGAGCCCTTCAGGAAATCATCGGACTGGTGCACTGTATGTTCCCCATCTACTCGTCATTTTTATCATTGTGCCGCAATGGACCGTGGTTTGCTCGTTGTTCAAGCAGTGCTTCCGAGTTTCGCAGCAAACAGGCAGCAGGTTTCGATACTGAAACCTTTCGTGTGTTCACGAACAAGCCATAGCTACTGTATGCTACTGTTCGTCTTCTCCGGTACCTGACTCCCACATCGCAAGGTTGGAAAAAGCTCGATGCTGAAGGAATGTCGCCTGCTGTCTTGTCGGCGCCCTAGCATGCAGCACCAGGCTGATGCAGCAGGTGCAGCTTGATCTGGAAGTTCAGTCTTGCCCTATCCCTCATCTTTCACCACCTTTCACCTCGAAGCAAAGCTTTGAAGCCCAACATCCATTGTGCTGCACGATGCGAGCATTTACATCGTCCTTTCCTTACGAACATGACATTGGAACTCGCACGATTTCGTTGTATCGCTGTCGCTTTCGTTGTTCGCCGTTGCGTTGTCATACAAGGCAGCGAGTGAAGATCCCCGTAGTATCGCTCATGCGTCCTGGCTGCATAGCTGGGAATGGCATAGCATGTGCGGCCTCGGGAAGCGTCCTTGCAGGCCAGCGAGGCTTAGTTAAAGTTGGAGATCTGTTAGGGCCCACGTGGGGCTGTTTGGACATGCTTCAGGGCCCACCGGGGCTGGAGTGGGGCTGAAGGATGTCCAAACCCTCTTGAGAAGGGCTTGCCCGGGGTGATGAAGAAGAAGATCCAGGCGAGCCGGAAGCCATGGACTACGATACTGGGCTTCGGGTTTACGGGATCAGGGTTTCGGGTTTAGGCCTTGGTTATGGGTTTCGGGGATTTAGGGTTCGGGTTTAGAGTTGGGGTTTGCTGCCGTTACCGTTGCCATTACCACCACCGCTACCGCTACCCGCTACCACTGCCGTGATGACGACGACTATACGACGGTTACGCAGCATTGCGCCTGCTTGCCGTCCCCAACCACAAGCAAAGTTAGACACTAGAAAATGGAAACCTCAAAAAATGCAAGACAAGGACCGCTGGCGTCATGTTGTCGCAGATCATTGCGCCGAGACTTTGTTGCTTTTTGGCTATCGCCAAGCGTGGAGTTGCAAGGTATGCAAGAGGTCGACGGGTTGAGAGTTGAGGGTACCTGAAAAGGAGGGGCCGGCCATCGCTGCTTGATCTTCTGTGTCAAAGACATGTCTTGTGAGGTTCAGCGTCGGTGGGAGCTCGCCCGATTCTCGAGTGCAAGCCGAGGAAGCACAAGATGCGCTTCAATTTCGGGATGGCCGACCTGGATGACAGCCTCAGGGCGATAATGTTCCACGCGGGATGATCCATCATTTGGCCTTGTACTTCCGCAGTTCCAAATCCGTTAGTTGTCCGTCAGAGGGAAGCATGGTTCCGTCGTTTTCGGTTCTTTGGCTCATTAGCCACACGCCGCAGTTGAATACCAGGTCGCACATTGGACGAAGGCGAGTTCGTCAACTTTATCACCGCATTTATCAGGGGGCTTGGCGCTGCCTTTGGGATCTCCCAGAAGGACTTCGCGTCCCAGAGGTTAAGCTGTTTGGGAAACTCGACGCTTCGTGTGTTCCACTGCTGAGCCAACGCGGTTCGGGTAAAGTTGCTAATTACTTTTGTGGACAATGACAAGACTTGAGTGCCCTAGCCAGCAGCCACTGTCAAGGGTTCGATCAAACTGCAAGCTCCAACCTCCGTTGGAGGATCATGGTGCTGAAATAACAGCAGGGTTGGACAGCATACCCCCGATCCTGTACTTGTGCAGCCCCAGCACTGGACCGCCTAACCTCTGGATCCTTGGCCTGGCTTAACCTTGAGAAGCACGCGGCAGAAGGGAAGGATCACTGTCGCGCTTTTTGCGATGCGCCGACATAGTTTCAAGAGCCGCCGTTTTTGAGGTCGTGCTGTGCGGTCTCGCACAAGTTAGCCTTTGAAGCAGTCCCATTCGTACGCGAGTCTGGGATGCCAGATTAGAGCAATGAATTGAGCAGCCCTGTCTCGTGCTCTTGGGTATGTTCACTTTTGACCCTTCCCTCGTCGAAGGTCACTACATGTCCACTGCGATCAAAGCTGTGAGCCTGTGAGCCTGTGCGACAGCTCTGAACGCCGTGGCGAACCTCCCACCCTCAGCAGTTTCCCGACCCAGATCTCTCACACCACAGCGGCTGCAACAAGTGCTTTGCTCGAAGGACGGCGTAATGCCTTCTCTAGATGCCATCCGTGCCTTGGAAACCGAAGGAATTAACATCTTCGCACGCTTCTGAGCACTGCAAGGATGAACTTAGTTTCAGTTTTGCTGTTTTGGCGCGGGTCAACTGCTTTGCTGTTTAGCAGCCTTCCTAAGGCGAAATCGGGCGGCGCCTCTACAACCGAATCTCTGCTTCTGGCTAGCACCGAGAATCGCAAGCGTCAAGCGAGCTTGGCAGTTCTCCGTCGTCGTAATGTCGCAAGTGTCTGTCTTAGCAGGTTTTTCATTTGATCCATCGGCAGATCTTGGGTGCATGTTGTTTGTTCTCAAGTTGAACACCTCTAGCAGCGCATCGCCTCGGTTCTCCAGGCCTGTTGCAATGATCCCAGAACAGTGTGTGCACAGTCTTGCCACCTTCTTTTGCAATCTTCCCAAGGCGAAGGCGGCAGAGGCACTGGTGAAGATCTCTCGGACAGCTTCCAAGGACACCTTTCACGGCCCTTTAGAGGTTCGTCCCGTTTCCGGATCTGTTGGCTGTCTGTTTACGCATGCATGTTTCTTCTGCCACAATGTATGATCTAATGTATATACACGCCAACATAAACGAACATTGCTTTGTGTATGGTGTATATTGTGTGTGTGTGTGTATGTTATACATACTATTGGATTACACAGTATAGGCTTTGCACACGCAAGGGACATATCGGTCTGCAAGCAAACCGCAATAAGAAAAGCTGGTTGTGCCGACTACCAATATCCGAAGATAGTGCTTTGAGATGGTAAGACGGTCTCCAACATCCTGGACATGAACACGAAACATCAACACGAAATTTGAGAAGGAGGTTAAACGATGACGTGTCCGTTCAGAAGCTTCGAACGCTGGGCGTTCGGGTGCTTAGGGTTCAACGCTTGTCGTGCAAATTGTGTGGCGCCTTGTGTCCATGGTTAGAGTTTGCACACGGCTTGTGCGGCGTGCCACTGAGAAACTCCTCGAGTCGTCGAGTCGTGGTTTCCCGCCAAAGTCCTCTCTGCGGAGGAGACGAGGGCAGCTCTGATCCAGGCGACCCCGGGAACATGATCAGCGCCTGTCGGGGTGTATGCCTGGTAGACTATATATGACTATATAATCTATATAGTATACTGTACCCTAAACCCCAGAGGCTGTTCTGATGGAGCGAAGGTGGGTTGAGAGTTTCTCTTCGCTGTGTCCAGGGCCTCAACGCTCTACACTTGCGAATCTGGTTTTGTGTATGGACCGCATGGTTTCAGTTCGTGTTGGAAGTGCCTGGCTTGGGCTTGGCCGTTGGAGAGCAGACGCGGGCCAGGCCATCAAGGAGCGGCAGCAGCACTTCGCGAAAGCTGCATCCATGGAGAGGCAGCTGTCCGTTGACGAGGTGGGATGGGGTGTCTCATCGCCTCCTCAGCAACAGCATTCTCATCTGTCCTCCGATTCCGTCTTCAGGTGCTGGAGGAGGAGCAGCCTCCGACTTCCATTCCACGCGCGCCGTCGAAGCATGCAGCCTGGCAGATTCTCGGGCTTGGGGTTGCCATGAGCAACGTGCCCTGGCACGGAGGTTTGAGGGTTGTGGGATGTTAGAGGGTTTCGAGGGTTGCGGTGTAGAGACGGGCGCAGGCTTGCGGGGAGGGCTGCAAGGCCAAGACAAGGACGTGGCTGTCACTGTGCGAACAGCCGAGGTTGAGTGCGTGGCTGTCCGGCAGGCACAGGACGTCTAAGCATCCGGCGCCGCTTTCGTGTTCCCGTCAGATCCCCGAGCGCGCTGGCTTCGTGTTCCCGTCCCCGACTCCGCCTGGGCCTGGCTAAGTTCGCCCGCCTTGGCAGGTCTTGAACTTCGCCACGATCGAGGCAGGGAATCTCGGAATATCTCGTAACCTCCGGCTTGGCTTTGGGGTAACCGCTGGCCTGGAGACCTGCGGCCCTGAAGGCTTAGGCTTAGACGCCTGCTGCAATCGCTTGCAGCTCCCAAGCCCACCGCGAGATTGCTTGGGAGCATCCTCTCCGCAGGCCTGGTGCTTTCGGGAGTACAAGGCTCCGACCTGAGACGGCTTAAAAGCAGACTCGCAGCATAGACGTATGGAAGTTGTAGAACCTGTCGACGACAGCAGGGTGCGCACACGTTTGCGACATTTGCCTGATGGGGCATTTGTGTTCAGATAGTTTAGGACCGTTTAGGATTCCGGAAGTCTTAGCGTTACCCAATGACAGTATGTCGAGAGATGCTGCGCGGTTCTGCGGAAGCTCGCCACGCCGGGCCTGCAACATCCCACCACAAGATACCACAAGCGGAGTCAGCCCACCTTTACACCGGCCGAACTCCTGGCTACCTACGACGAAGCACATTCTGAGTGCTATCTTGGACGCTCAGACCCCTAGCCGGAACTGCATGCCTCGGTTGCCCACGATGACGCTGCCAGAGTCGAGAATCCCAGGCAATACTGCCACCCTGCCCCAACTTCTAAGCTTCGTTGTTCCCGTCGACAAAGCTGATAACTTTGCCGCCGAGGACCCTCTGGCACTGCCTTATGCCCTGGCCTTCGAGCGCTTCTGTGCCCGCGGCAGCGGAGCGGACCTGTGCGCCGGGCACTGGGAGGGGCGGAGGCGGCGGAGTCTCCTGTTGGGGTTGTTCGTAGGCTGAAAAACCTGGCATGTCGACAGAAGTGCCATGCGCTCGCGAGCCATCGCTAGCCGTTAGTCGTGAAGGGCTGAATGTGGCTGCTTGTTTCGAAGACACCAGGCCTGATGCGTACGAACGAGTGTGTTTAGCTCCTGTTTTGGTCCTGTTGCTGTCAATGGCACTCTTCCCACATCAGTGATGAGCGGCAGAAATGTTTCAGAAGCACATAATAAGATGTCTGACGAAGGAAGACAAAGGATTAATCTAAAATCTAGATTCCGGGGATCTGATGCCTGGCTACACCTGTAGAAGCCGTGGCGGGATAGTGTGAGAGACCTGCTGCTCTATGAGGTCTGTCGGAGACTTGATTTTGCCTCCTTGCACTGAACGCTGGGTTGAGGGCATCGCTCGCAAGGTACCACCTCCAAAACGAGGAGCTGATCTGCTCTTGATCGGCTCGGCTTCCAAACGGTTCTGGGTTCATGTCTGCCATCTCGATTGTAAAGAATGCTTGAACTGCCTCAGCGCACAGTTCACTGGAGAGAGTTGGGCACGTCGGCTTTGGTCGGACCTCGCGGCCCTGGTGCTTGAGTCATCCTGCTACCTGTACTCTGGCTACGTCCTGCGTTCAGAGTTGGAGTTCGGCGACAAGTGTCATGGGGCGTTTGGATGCATGCCTGTCGAAACTTGCCAATGTTCCAGAGCCTGCCAAAAGGAGCCTTACGGTTTGAAGTATAGGGGCACGATCCAAAGCCGCCCGAAGGTCTTGTCAGGCTGTGAATCGGAAGCGGTGGTAGGTTGATTCCGTTGCCACTCGGGTTGCAGGTAGCCGGCGCGTCTCAACACAGGTCATGCTGCCCAGTTGGCATGATGCTGCCTGAGTCAGTGTCACCTGCAGTAATTGCTGGCCAGCCAAAGCCACAAAGCTTGGAGGAGTGGCACCTCTCTCACACAGAGGCGGTGGAACTGCCAAAGGCCGGGGGCATGGGCCTGAAAGAGTTGGCTAGATGTGGCAAAGCGCGTCCGAGAGATCGAGTAGCATAGCCGACTTGACCATGCAGCTCCGCAAGAGGGTGTACTGACGTAAAGCATGCGTCGACAGTCGGTACACTTTTGCATCTGTGACTCTCCTTCATAACGTCCAGGAGCTGGACTCTCGAGACGACGCAAAGCTGCCTGCCAGGTGGCAGGCGAACGCCCCCAGACCAGACGTAGAGCATAAACTAAAACCGGCTCCGAGCACTGTGGGAACAAAGGTTTGAAGTTGGATGTGTCGGGGCTTTGTCTTCGGTGTGGGATGCCGAGGTCCGAGTCGGGTCTGGGGAGCCTTCGAGCCTTGGGCCTTTGATGCTCTGAGCCCTGACCTGGTTTGATTCTCCAGTCCTTTAATGATACGGCCCGCTCTGCATCTTCCGCAGGTCCTGTTCCTGCGCGACGTCTTCAACTACTGTGTGGGCCCCGGCAGGCAGGCAGGCCTTGCTCAGGTGCTTGCGTGCATGGCTTCTGGGTGGTTCCGCTTTCTTCTCGAGGCTTGTTGGCCCAACCCTGAGGCTTAAAATCCTGCAGACCACCGTGAGCACCAAACCTGAGCCAGAAGCTCTGAACCCTCAGCACCCCGAACTCAGGCAAGTCTGAGGGCTCCTTTCAGCTGACCTTCTCGGACTTGGAGCAGCGCAGACGCAAAGTAAAGGTGAGAGTTTGACAAGTTCGCTGGCGATTTCCCGAGCAAAGGTACGGGCTTCGACGGAGCTTGACGCCGGATCTCTGGGACCTCGTGAGCGATGCCATGCGGAAGATGTCCGACGAGACTCGAGGCTGATCCTACGGGACACCGAAGGTTGGGGCTTCGGGGCTTCCGAGGCCGAAGAGAAGGGAGGGGATGCTGGTCGCCAGGGCTGAAGCTCATGCTCAGGGTTACTCTGGGTTCGGGCCTTGGGCCGTGCTCCACAAGGCGATGTAAGGCCTCCTGCTGCTGAACTAGGATCCACATGCTCGGAGCCTCTCGCACAGGCGTGAAGTAGCATCTTCGGAAACGGGCCATGAGCTGTTGGAATCAGAGCAAAAGGAAGATGCATGGGCTCAGGTGTTTAATGTCCCACGGCCAGTAGGATACAAGCAGCAACAAGGCTTCCAGATCCAAACTGCAAGGGTTGGGCTTTCGTGGCTTTAGGCTGTGGATTGCGAAGCGCAGCATGCAAACGCGGACGTTCTATCGAAGATCTAAGCAGTTGACCTTTGCAGAGTTGCTGAGCCAGGTGCAGCGACGTTCTTCCACTTCTTGAAGAAGGCAGGGGTGACAGCGGTAGCCTAGGCCATGCGCCCGCACTGCACGTGGCAAACGTCTACACCGAGTCTATCCGGTGGCCTAGACTCCTGGACAACTGGCAAGAGGATGGTCAATCCCTCTTCAGGTCCCAAAACATAAAGGAATGGATGGCGTGTGATCTCCCCGAAATTCAGATGATGGGGATGTTGTCGCGTCCAGGCATACCCCGGCTGCCAGCCCAAGCATCTCGCTACATTCCAGGACTGGCAGGAGACCAAGCCAAGTCTCATGGGTTCCAATTCCGGTCCGAGGTCCTCAGAGGACTATCCACAGGTTTGCACATCCGCCTCGCCTCCGACTCGCATCCTCCAAGGTGCAACCAGTACGACGAGCTGCAGCGGCGCAGCGCTGAGGTCTCGTAAGGGAGCTGTGATAGTCCATACAGAAACACAACGTCACAGTTTCCTTCGCGAAGGTAGCAGATCGAAACTGCCACTGGGTGGGTTCTATAGACTCCACACCTCATTGGACACTTGCTACAGATGGATGTCCTCACCGAAGCGGCCGCGCTCTTTGAAAAGAAGAACGCGATGCCGATCCTGCCCGTGGACGATCAGGCAGTGTTGCTCCGGTCATACGGCAGTACCCTCTGTCTTAATCCTTTCTGCGCTTTTCCTGCAGAGGCGCGCTTAGAGAAGGAGTTCGAAGAGATGGCAGCTTGGCTTGCAATCCTCATAGGCCCTCTCTGTACACGGCATACCAGAGTCTGTGTTGAGCTTTCAGGCATTTTTGTCGTTGCAGGGGAGAGTTTACTTCGTCGGCATTGTTCTCGTAGTCACGAAAGCTCTCCTCCAGAGAGGTGCACTATAACACGCCTTCATGGAGAAACGGGCCTTCGATGATGCTCATGATGTCTAGGGTGTTGGGGATGCGGAAGGCGGGAAGGGCAGCGTCCATGATGCTGTCACATGCTTCAAACCTCAAGCCGGCAACCTCTCCGCCTCGGCCTCGCCGCATCTGATTGGCAGGCAAAAAGAGATTTTCCGGCAATCGGGTGTCCAAACTTTCTGGTGTTCCAAACTCCATTAGCTAGATCCAGCCGTGGTGTTGGTCAAGGGGTTTGCGCCTTCAACTTCACAAAACCATCACTCCTTCTTCTCTTCAGGGTCCGGTGAGCTGTAACTGTAAGTGACTCAAGAAAATTTAACAGTCTAGTGGTGTGTTGGGGGGTATGGGGTGCGGGTGTCTTGGGTTCCAGTGTCGGTGTGCGTGGTGGGTGATGCAACGCACAACTTACTTAAAAAGCACACTTTAACCCTAAGCTTAGGGAAGCCAAGGCTTCGAAGGTGAAGGATTCGGCGTTCCCACAGCCCCTTACAAACCTACTATGGGGTTTCGGGTTTCGGCTACTATAGGGGTACTATAGGGTTTAAGGTTTAGGCTACTAATTAAAAGGGTACTATAGGGGTTACTTGTAGGGCTTAGGCTACTACAAGGGTACCATAGTTTAGGGTTCAGGCTACTGTAGGGTTTAGGGTTTAGGCTACTATAAGGGTGCTATAGGGTTTAGGGTTTCGGCTACTATAAGGGTACTATAGGGCTTAAGCTACTGTAGGGGCAGTATAGTGTTTAGGCTACTATTGGGTTTAGTTTTGAAGGTTTGGGCTTAGGGGTACTATTGAGTTTAGGGTTTAGGCTACTAAAATTACATAGAGAACTGCGTGCAGCGGGCTTGCAGTAATGACCATGACCATGACAGTACGTACATGCATGCGTGCTTGCATACGTACATGATACATATGTACACACACGTACAGACATTTACATGCAAACGTATATGGGCACAAATAGGCTGACATGCATGCATGCTAGGGAGACGAAGTTCGGCACCTTGAAGACAGGAGCCTTCCGAGTGTTCCGGCATGTCCTGGCAAAGATGACTGACCGTCTGAGAGCTCTGATGTAAGGTACTGAATCTAGTGTAATACATACACACACACACATACATACCCACAATTACACACATATGTCAGTTTCAGAAATGAGGACGATGGCGATGGTCTTGGTCTCTTCTTTCAAATCCACGATGTCTGCAAAACTACTCATCACGCCGCCGTGTTGTCAGTCGTGACGCGCTCGAAGCTTCAGCCCTCCTCCGCGATAGCATCATCAGCCGGCTGACCCTCATCACCCTCTTCTTCTCCGCCTTCCGCCGTAAAACCATGACCAAAAAGGTGTTTATATAGACCCGAGAGTGTTGAGTCCCAGCGATGGAAGACCCGAGAGTGTTGAATCCCAGCGACAGAAGACCCGAAAGTGTTAAATCCCCGCGATGGAGGACCCGAGAGTGTTGAA